CCCCTTCTCTCCGTCACACATTGTCACAAAAAGCCAGATCCCCTTAAAAAGATGTCACACCTCAGCCTACAATTTTGCTTAAAATATCAATATTTTTTTCCAAAATCTTGACTGGACTCGAAACGGCTTACTAAAACGCGAAATAACAGTAACATTCGTTTACTAACATTGCTTTTTTTAAATGCAAAAGTGTGACGTCACACCATCTGAGGCTTCCCCCCCCCCCCACCCACAGCCCCACACTGTTATTACACACCGTTCAATGAAGGGAGGGTGGGTTTTTATAAGTTTTTGCACAAGGAAGACTTTTCTGATCTTAAAATTTTTTTTATCAAAGTACGTTTCAAATGTTGGAACAACATACCTGTATGAACAATTTGAGATAATTTGAGAGCAAACTTGGACCTCGAGTGTTGTTGTCCCCCAACAGTGTTTCTTTCAGACTTTTTTCTTCGGAGAAGGGGGACACTTGAAATGTGTATATATTTCTATATAAATTATATTTCGTTTGGGGGGGGGGGGAGAGAGAGAGAGCACCACCACCTCAAAGAGATGCCTTGAAGAAACTCTGGCCCCCTAACTGATATTTGATAGTTAATGCGGCCCTCGGGCTGAAAAGTTTGGAGACCCCTGCCTTAGACAATACGTTGGAGGTTCAAATTAAATATTTTGATAGCTTTAGGGTTTATTATAGGCCTATCTCATCCTGTCGACACGCTGTTTAAAAATGGAGCGTTGCAAATGGGTGCTTTATTTTTTAATTAGATAAATGTGATTATATAGCATTACATAATATGTTAACTACTGATTCTATTTGTAAATTTTTAAACAGCTTCAAGCAAACCTTTCAGTGGGATAGAGATTGGCAGTTTACTTGGCAACATTATTTTGGTGATTGCTTTTATTGTAGTAATATCAATACTTATAATAAGAGGCCATGTTAAATCCAAACGTAAGTACATTTAAGTTAACAGACCATATGTTTCATACCTTGGCTCTATAGATTTAAGCCTTAAATATTAATGTGAAACGGAAATTAAACGTATTAGTTTAGTGTTAAGCTGAAGATTACTGAGATTGTACTTACATTTTGATTTGCTAAAATAATTTTGTAAAATGTTTACGCGTGGTAAACTACAAGAGAAGATTTGTTAGTAAAGTTTGTTTAAAATAGACTATATTTTGATTCACTAAATCAGAGATGGATGTAGACCTAAATGTACGATGTACGGCACCAGGACATGAGGAGTGAAATATAGGCCAAAACCTAAATAATATAATTAGGTCTACTGTTTGTAATCTATAAACGATGCCACACTTTTATACATGATTTTTACTTTTCCCACCCCTCCTAAAAAAACAACCCCCATCCGAACTGCGATTTTGTTTATTTAAAAAGCTATATTTTTTAAAACTATTTACTGGTCTGGGTCAACATTTGATACATTTTTATCACAATTTACAATTACTTTTTTAAAATGCAAAATAATTGCTAAAATTTCATTAATAGATTTACTTTTTAAAATAAAAAGGGTGTTGTCATACTTTCTGAACCTCCTACCGCATCCTTGTCATATTGTTGTAAAATTACCTCCTAAAAATGCTAAAAGGATGACCGTCACACTTTCTAAACATAACCTCCCCTCCCCCTTATTAAACATCGTTACAAGTCTTACCCCCGCCCCACTACCCCCTCGAACGCCCCCGCCCCCCCCAAGAAGTGTGACGTCATTTATTGCCCTATTAAATTACCATTTTTTACCTCTTTTTTTTATTAGTGATAGGGCCTACACATTCGAAATTGTTTATTTGGGTTTTTTTATTCTATCTTTTGCTACAAATTATATATTTTCCATGCGGACATTTATTTTCAGGTAAAAAGACTCTCACAATCTCACCATCATCGACACACTCCGGGCGCCAAAAGACCTACGTACGTAATCCAGCAGAGAAACCACGAGATAGAGCCACGCCTATGGAGGGCAGATCTTTTCCGGACACACTAGAGAAACGCCCCACAAGCTCGTGCAGCCTACCCGGAAAACATTACGTGTTGGAGAATCGCGATTTCCAGACTCAGCTTACCGTAACAAACCCTATGACCTGTACCGTTGATATAGAACTAAGTCCAAGTGTTAGCTCGCATCAAGATGGAGAACAATGTTCGATTCCGGTAGATAGCCACACCGGGACCACACGTGAAATCTTGTCTACTGACATTGAGTGACATGTTAAAAATTGATGAATAGAAAGTTTAGATAGGCATGATCGAGTACCGCCACAAGGCGGGTGGGGGAGGTTGCGGCCTGCACCGGGTGACACCATTTAAAGGGGATGACAGTCATGACACAACATTAAAAATATCGTAAAATTACTGTTGAGACAATGTTTTATCTAGTTAAAATGATAAAGAAGTAGATGGGAAGATGTGCCACCAAATGCAAAATTGTTTGAGAGGAGGGGTGACACCCTTAGTTAACGTACCGAGTGACACCCGACCTAGTGACGCCATTGGAATTATCATTAAAGTATTAAATATTTAGCTGCTTATGGTTTTAGCTATATATATATAAAACAAAAAAAGTATATATTTTCTATATAAATTCCATTTCGGGGGGGGGGGCGGTAGACTTTCTTGGGGGGGGGGGGGGGCGTGTGATGACGCAAGATTACGTCAGACATGTTTAGCAGATATAGGTTAGCAGAAACAGACTATAGGCCTAGTTGGTTGGGTAGAGAGGCCAATGGGCGCACAGGGCTGACCGGTCACGTGGGACGATCAGCTGACCACTGAGGCGTGGGGCAGAAGAGAGATAGGCCAGCAGTTGATGATTAGCTAGCGAGGAGAGAAGGTGTTAGGAAGCGGTTAGAGACGGTCGTAATATGTAGAGCTAGAGAACGGTAGTTAGTGTTAGGATTGATCATGGGAGTGCGTAGTTAGTAGTATAGTGAACAGTGCGTAGTAGTAGGTAGCATGTGGTATGAACAGTCAGTAGTAGAAGTAAATAGTTCAGTGTAGATCAGTTAGGTAGAAACTTGAACATATATATCATTTTAATAAAGAACAATTATAGTTGAACTTGAACTGTGTGTTGTTGGATTCATTCGTTCCGCCTTCTTAAAAATCCCCACCCTCACAACGGGTGCAACTAGTAGAAATTCAAACAAAGATTTTTTTTCGTACCCTCACAGGGCGGTAGACTTTCTTGGGGGTAGACTTTCATGGGGGGGCGGTAGACTTTCTTGCGGGGGGCGGTAGACTTTCTTGGGGGGGGGGGGGCGCTAGACTTTCTTAGGGTGGGTGGCGGTAGACTTTCTTAGTGGGTGGGGGTGGCGATGCCTGGAAGAAACACTGCCTACCATCACATCACCGCGTCTGCTTTTTCCGTCCGCCACATCTTTACACATCATCACAAAACATTCTCTAAAATGACATCACATTTCAGTCTACTTTTCTAGACACTTTTCTCCAACACAGTAGCGTAGCGAGGGGGGGGGGGGGGGGGGGCGGGGGGAACATATGTCCCCGGGCGCCGACCTTAGGGGGCGCCAAAATGGGCTGGAAAAATGAATTGAAAGGTTGAGAGGGGTGCAAATCGAAAGTCTGAGGGGGGGGGGGGGGGGTGCAAATCGAAATCTTGAGGGGAGGGGGTTGCAAATCGAAAGTTTGAGGGGGGTGCAAATCGAAAAGTTTGTCCCCGGGCGCCAGGAAGGTTCGCTACGCCTCTGCTCCAACAGCCTATAAGGATTCATCACCCCTCTCCTCTCATCAAGTTTTCAAAACAAAACAAAAACACTACCCGCTTTTTTTGCGTAAGTGTTACGTCATTTATGGATATTGCCTTAGTACAGTACATATTTTACTTGACAAAACTGACACGAAAATAAATTGCACTAGAATTCGATTTCAAACAATTATTTACGTGTATACGTAAACATAATCATAATCAACGAGTTTTGAAATGCTAAATACTTTTTATGACAAACTTTTTCTTAAATCACAATAGGTCTCCTGTTGTGTTCAAATACTTTAATTAACGCAATTTTAACACATTTCTCTAGAGGAGATATTTCTTTCAGATAGCTGCACCTCAGCTGACAATGCATGAATATCTGATTTTAAATCGAATTCGAAATTGTAACCATTGTAAAATAATAAAAAGGAAATAACTCATATAACACCCAGATAGACACAACAATTTTTTTTAAAATTGCGTAGTTGTTATGTCCATTTTTTTTAAAAATAATTTAGTACTATTAAAAAGATTGCGTTTAAGCATATTGAAATAAATATAGTAGTTTTTCTGGTAAGCGCTCTTGAAGTCAGAAAATGGACATTACATCAGAAAAGTAAATTTTAATACAATCAATTTCGAGAATGTAGGCGATTATGTACCATTTACTTAAAATATTAATGGTTTCTTGTCATTTAATTCTATAATAAATGGTTTCTTCATTATTAATATATTCAAGCCTCCATTTGATTTTTGTCGTTGGTTTTTTTTTCTGCGGGGACGGGAGATGGGACTGTAACTGAAAAATTACTTTTACTTTGTTATCTATCCTTTTATTTTCTTAATAATTAATATGTATTTCATTGTTACTGGACTGAATATTTTGGTTCAATGTCTGAAAAATCATTATTTTTAATTTGTTACTGTCAGTCCTTCTTAAACTTAAATACAAGTTTTGCTACACCTTTCATCTAGTTGTTGGCATGTGTGATTAATAATGTTTTTTATTTCATGTTTAAAAAGTTGTTAAAATGAAATTATTTTGTGTTGTATTTCACTGGTGAATATTTTACAAAGCTTACAACCAAAAGACAGACTGCCTGGGATAGGTACTCCATCAAATAAAAATGTGTATTTTCCATTTGAGTTTATGTACATTTTCTACTTCACTTCTGAAACTTAAATAACATAATGAATATAAATTTCAATTACATTCAAAAAAGAGAACATTTTAATTTTTTATTTTTTATCTTTATTTAAGAACTAGTATAATTGAAAACAATGAATAAAACAAATTTGACTAATATTTTTCTTACTTAAAACTAAGCTGTAATAAACATAGGAAATGTGGTTAACTGGTAGAGATTAAGTGCTTTAAAAAAAGTGGTTCTGAGTGGATCTCTAGGTATCACTGAGTCCATGCAGGTTAAATGTGTATCTGGCATAAGTCTAGGAAATTTGAAGGCACCTGTGAATCTGCTTAACGGGCCTATATAGGGCCCTAAATATTGTAATAACAGCATAGTTTAATGATAAATTCAGTTAAAGACAGTATTGAAGGATTAAAAAATGGTCACATTGATTATGAGATTTGAGTATCTAAAACTAAAAAAAAATATTTGCACACTTTCTTGTGTTCTTTTTACATTTTTATAAAATTTTAAAACATGAATACATTTAAATATACAAATGCATATCAAAATGAACACTTTCATGGAATAGTTTCATCTGATAGACATAGGTAGATCTAGCCTGAAATATTTTTTTTTGGAAGACTAGATTATAATTTATAAATATATGTTGATGGGAGAACTAAGCTTCAATGTCTATCTACAAAATACACCCATAGATAAACAAATATACATTTATGCAAAAGATTTATTAATTTTTGCAAGGCAAAACATTCCTGGGTCAAAATTAGTACATTAAACCACTCACATAGAGAAATATCACAGAAGTCAAAAGGCTATCTAATATTTTTAAGGAACAACCTCTAAACACACCAATACACTTGAACACATTTCCATTTTAACACACAAACTTAAACACTCCATGATGTTTAAACACAAGATAAACTACAATACACCAATTAGGAGTTCACACATTTTTTGAAGTTAATAAACCACAATCTGACAACATATTCAGCTTTTAAATTATTCACAGCTTCTTTGTTAGTCAGAAAAATAAATAAGTAAACAGTAATTAAACAAAATTCAAAATTGAACCACAAAAACTGACAAAACAAATAATTTGTTTGTAAAGAAAACAAAATATCAACATAAACAGAGACAAGATATTTTAATGAATCTAAACTGAAATCTTGAATGATATGGTTGTAAAGTAGAGTGAGGACATTAGACTATGGTTTTGATACATCTACAGGTCAAAATAAAGGTTTGGATTAAAGCTGAATTCACTGTGCTCTAATCTGAATCCAACTTGAGTTGAGATATTCACTTCATCATGTGTCAGGGAAACCAAATCTCCTTTAGTTCTTCCCATCAGATTTACTAGCATCCCATGTTATAAGGAATCTTTGTAAAATATTAATCTTGGGACAACTAGAACCACAGAGTTTATTTATAAATACTAAGTCATACACACTGAAAATAATAATTAAACAACTGGCTGCAAATTGAAATGGTTAAAAGAAAATAAGAGTAATTACATGCAGTTATAATGTATTAATTTTAAGTTAACTAAATGAAATAACATAAGTTTGGGCCTAATAAAATGAAAATGAGTTTAGTTAATGGCTTAGGTTTAAAAGAAACAAATGAAATTTACATTTACTACTTACAAAAAAAAATAAAAGTAAAAAAAAAAAATTAAAGATACACATCACAACTATCTTAGTAAATTAATACTTCTTGTACCTAATAGATTAGCAATTGTAAATTAAGAATTCCTTAATATAGTCAAGTTATACAGGTCTATACAATTAACAAAAATTATAAGGATAGTAATAAAAGTATATAGGTATGTAGAGGGGGGGGGGAGAATAAAGAGGTAATTTTTTTTAAACCACTGTTGAACTAGGAAGAATATTTTGATTCCTGCTGTCAGTTGTTTTACCCTTGAAGTTTTTAATTAAAATGAGAATTCACATTCATACAACTGCATTTTTTTCAACTCATTGTCTCTTCTTAAATCATTTCTTTCATCCTTGCAGTCTACAACCATCATATCTTTAGGTTTACAATGTTGGTGTATAGATTGATCATCATCATATGGACCTACCTGGCATACAGAATTATCTTTAACACCTATCTGGCATTTGGAATTTTCTCCAACACTTATCTGGCATGTGAAATTTTCTCCAATTCCTATTGGACAAGTGGAATTTTCTTCAACACTTATCTGGCATGTGAAATTTTCTCCAATTCCTATTGGACAAGTGGAATTTTCTTCAACACTTATCTGGCATGCAGAATTTTCTTCAATTCCTATTGGACAAGTGGAATTTTCTCCAATACCTTTCTGGCATGCAGAATTTTCTCCAATTCCTATTGGACAAGTGGAATTTTCTCCAATACCTATCTGGCATGCAGAATTTTCTCCACTTTGTATCTGGCGTGTGGAACTTTCTTCAACTGCAATTGGATAAGTAGACTTTTCTCTTCCAACATATTTTTGGTGCATGATTACTGGTATAAAATCATCTTCTTCAGCATCCATTGGTGATAAAGGCTGAATATAATCACATGATGGAAATAACCTTGTCTTGTCAAAGGGGTTGTAACTATAACTTGATGTTAAGTAGGGGTAATCTGCGGGGAGTGGTCTCCAGGCACAACCATAGTCTAACAACAAATCACTAGTTTTCAATGTCTCACTTGAGCTGCGTACCTGATAAAATTGTTCAAAATCAGGAGCCATCTCTGGGTCTAGTTTTTCAACTGTTTTATAGATGTATCTTGAGACATTATTGCTAGCCAAAGTTTGCTGTGTTAGATTGTTATAACCAAGTCGAGTTGTGTTTGCCATATGGGGAAGAGGATTTGGTGGGTCGTCAACTGGGCTGATAAAATCAGCAAGAACATAGTTAGCTTGAAAGTTTATAGGTTTTGCATGGTAAACTTTATCGGATAGTGGAATATTGGGTAAGTATACACTGCTTTTTTGATGATGTGATGGGCCTTGACAGCATAGCTCATCATCTTCACTGCGTGTTTCATCATCTGAGGAGTCCATAGAAAAAGAGACTCTCACAACGGAGACGTCAACTTCTGATTTTTTCTGGTCATCCTTATTTTGAAAAATATTTTTGCTTCCTATTAACACTGATGGTTTATTGCTATTGAATTGCTTTGATTCATGTTGAAGTTTATTAGATTCTGGTACTTTAGGCAGTGGTCTTGTCTGAATTGCTCCATGATATAGGTTTAAATTTAGGCGCCTGCTTTGAATTTCTTTTGGCCGATAAATGAAATCTTTTTTACTTTCTGTAACGTCTGTATTGTGGTTACTGACATAGATTTGCTTGGGTTGTGTTTCATCCTCTTTATTATCTATCTCATAGTCATTGGGTTTTACTGCAACAGAGGACTTGCTTAAACGTTTGCTAAGGAAAGGGATTTTCACTTTTTTCTTTTTATTCTTAGTTTGGTCGTTCTGCTCAGAACTTGTTCCTGGTACTTGTTTTACCATTGTTTCATGTTCCACTGCTGATGTTCCGGAACTCTGTTCACCTACAAGAACTTTAAGATCAGTGTGATCTGGGTTGAGCTTTTCAGATAACACTCTGAAAATTCACAAAAAGAAAAGGATTAATGACTTATTATTTATTAATTACAAGCAAATGTTTCATTTAATATATTGATTCTACAAGAGAAGAGTTATTATTTTAGTATTAGCATTAGCAATGTAATTTTATTAATTCATATTAATGCTCTATTAGTTTTTCTTGCAAAACTAAGCCAATAGTACAAAAATAATCATAGTTACGTTTTGTTAGGAAAATTTTACACGATTTTTAAATTGGTTTTTTACCTGATAATTTCTTTAAAATTGGGTCTCTCTTTAGGTTGATCATGCAAACATCTTTGTATCAGGCTAAATATTGGTTTATGATCACATCTTAGCTGTTTCACATCATTTATGTTAATTTCATTTGACTGAAAAATTTTATTAATTTTGGCAATCAATGTAGCTGAAACATAATGATTTTTTAGGTCGAGAATAAAAATTAATTGAGAAACTTAAATGTATCATTAGTAATATAAAACGAAGTAAAGAAATCAACTTAAATAAAGCTATGGTGTAAATATTTCTAAAAATTAATCTTGCCACATACGTTTCATTTTATTTTAAGTATTGGTTTGTTTTGTTTGTTCGTTTTTTTTGCTAGACATTTCAGTATTTTTATGATTTTTCTGCTTAGCTAATAAGTTTTTCACAAACATTTGGACTACAACTTGACAGGCATTGCTATCAGCTCCCTGAGTATTAAAAATTAATCCTAAATTGATCCTTATCCACACTAGCAGGCATAGTTATGCTATACATTCTACAAAAGTTATCTGTATGGATGGTTCAGTGATCTATACTATAAGTTTTAGATTTACAATCTGAGTTAGTTACTACTAGTTAAAGTAAGTTTTAAGGTAGTTTAAATAATTCATGCATTTTTATAAGCCAACATAAATAGCAGGACTATTCTCAGATGTAGGCTTCTTTAACAAGTACATTACAATAAATACATAATTAATCGAATTGCATTGTAAGCTTAACTAAGTATTAAAAGTGTAGTACAATTAATATACAATATTAAAAACCAACCAGTATTTCACTCATGGAGACATAGGTCCTCTCACTTCTAAGAGATCCAGATTCTTTGAGACAACATGAAAGCTCCAGAATCTCCCACATTAAGCAGCCAAAAGAGAACACATCAGATTGAGGGGTAACTGTTGCCATATTGTCTCTCATCACCTCAGGTGCAGTACTGTAATACACAGAAAACTAGGAGTTGTTGCATTCTTTGACTATTAAAAAAATTTAATTATTACACTGTACAAAAAAATTATTATAATTGTTGTAACTCTCTAATGAGGCATGGGAAAACAATTGCCTTGAAGATTTGACCAACATCCTAAGGAGAATTATGAAATTAATCGTTTATTGTTAGGTAAAGTAGCTATATTGCTTACACTTGAAGCTTATTTAGTAGTTTTCTTCCCCAGTTAAGAAACCTAATTAAATTAGGCCTAGTAAAAATAATTTGGAAAGATTTCAAGTATTTATTTTGGTACCAGAAGCTTCATCATCATCTTAGAGTAATATTAAAATGACCAACCCTAGATATTTCTAACCATAATTCACATTTATAATCATAATTAAAAATAAAAGAACTAACATCCTTTATGTATACAGGGTTGTTATTTTAATGTCCTAGCATAAAGATATTGTGATGCCAATACAATGCTCAGCCACATTCACTATCCCCATTCTTATGTAGGCCAAAGTAACACAAGTAACTTAAAGTATTAAACTCTATATACAACAGTGAAATAAACTCAAGACTTTAAATTTATATACTTTCACATTGTTAATTAATTAAATTAATTATCTTTACCGTCTTAAGACCAACTCATCAAAATGCACTTTGTTCAGCTTAGAACTACTTTCATCTATAGTGTTCAGTTTTGATAAAGAGATAGGATGGAGCTGTAATGGAAGCAAATTATTTTTACTACTTTGTAGGGTATCATAATGGTTAATATTTATAAAATTGTTAGGATTTATGTAAAAGAAACTGAACAAATTTAATGTTCAAAGGACTTTTAAATCTTTTTATAAATTAGGTCTTTTGGTTTTGGTTTGACCCACTACTATTATAATTAGTTTAATCAAAAGGCTAACTAGAAAATTTTAAACCACATAAAATATCAATATATTGTGTGTTTCAACCAAAAATGTTTACAAATTATAAAAATAATATTATAATATGAACAATTTCTAAAAACTATACCGTGAGCTTCCCTTTCTGCTTTCTTACAAACAAATATGATGCGCACATATCGCCCAATACAAAAGACAATTCATGAAATTTCTGCAGCATCTCTGCAACATTTAACATAAGACGGATGCAATTCTCTTCACTTGAATCAAAGTCAGGAGAGAGCAAAAGTTGCATTAGGCTTTCATGACAGGATGGTGGCAAAAAGATTTCCTGTTACAAAGAATAATTGTAAACATTACAGCTTGTAGAATTAGTAGAGTTATCTGTGTGACAATTTATTTTGGTATCAAATACTAGCTTGCAATTTTAAGCTTTTGGTTGTGTGAGTTTATTTAAACTGTTTTAATTCTTTAGGTGAATGATAACAATAATGTAAAATTTTCATGCTTAAAATTTAAAAATTCAAATGTATCATAAGTATTTGATTTTTCTCAGTGCATTTTTTTAATACAATTAGTGCTTTATTTTAATTAGTTTTAGCTAAAATACATTCTCAACTAATTGTTTTAAATAAGTTTTAAAAACAATTTTCTCTATTTATTTTCTTTAACATTCAATTTTATTTGGGGGTTTTTTTTTAAATCCTGGGCATTCTTAAATAGTTAAATGACCATTAAAGCACAATCTTAAATTTCTCATAATAATATGTTTTAATTGTTTTAATTATTCTTGGTTATTTGAATTTTTCAAAAATTAATATATAGGCTTAATTAATAGGCTTTTAGTAGTAAAAAATGTAGAATCTATGTATAATGGGTACATAAATCATTAATCTGTAAATGCCTACTTACAATGCACTGCTTTTTATCTTGTGTGACTGTAGCATATATCCTGGGCAGTATAAAGTCCAATATACCTAGGTTGAGTTTTGTCATAATTTCTTCAGGGAAAAGCCTATCAGTAACCTCAGTAACAACTGCAACCTCTCCCTAACAATCCAAAAAAATATTGATAAAGTAATAAAGATATGATCTTTAACAAATATTTAAATGACTATAAGCATAAATAAAATTTGAGGACAGCATGGCCAAGAATTAGAGTGCTAGACTGCTAACCCGTAAGCCTCGAGTTCAAGTCTCAGTTCAAGTCAGTAGAACATCTCTAAGTCTACTCAGCTCTGATGGGTATCTAACTAATGTTAAGGAAAGGCGTCTGGGCATAGAGCTGACCACACTGTCCTTTCATATGCCGAGGTTACAGAAACAGGTGAACACTACTTCACCTGCCCCAGGGGCCATCAGGTTTAAAAAGGGAACTTTTTTTAAAATGGTATTCTAATATTAATAGCCTAAATCATTAGGTGTCATCCATTTATGATATCCACAAAAATGTTGGATTATACACCTCCCCCCATCTTCCTTATATAAACATCTCTATAAAACTATCATTGTTATGCATGCTCTATTATTTCTTATAGTCTAATAAGCTATTCACTAAATTTAGCCTCAATAATGAATAGCATTTTAGACATTTTAATTAGTTGAAGGGCAATTATGTTCAGATCATAAATAAACTTTTCTAAAGTGAAAAAAAAATTATGTTTAAACTTTTTTAACTACTCTTTCGGCAAATAAAAACATAGTTTTTCCAAACAGGAATATAGTTTGGTATAATATTTAAGAAGGATTCTTCTTCTTCTTCTTCTTCGTTCTTAATTTTTAGTGTTGGGAGGAATCGAGCCTTATCTGCCAGAGGGTATGAACTCGAAACTTTTTTTTCGTATTTATCAACCATGAGCTTTGCCGACTCGACCATGCTTCCATCACAATTAAGGATTACATGTCAACTGGTTATGCGCCATTGAGGCCATTGACTCCGATTTTAGCCTGCTTTTCTTTTTGGATTTGCTTCCATAGCCTTTGTCCAACCTAGAACAAACTACAAGGCCCCAGTTGATTAATTTTGGAGTTGTCTCTCCTACAAGAGTGGCTGTCCCCAGCTAATGAGCCTCATCTGCCCCAGGGTTCGAACTTGAGACTTTTAGGTTTAGCAACCATGAGCTTTACCGACTCGACCACGCCGACCCCCTAAGAAGGATTAAATCAATGGTTTTGATTCTATAAGCATACTAAGTTATATAATTTAATGACACAACTATTAAAAAAAAATTGACTACTGTGTATACAAGCCTAGTTATATTGTTATACCTATTGTAATCTATCTATAATGTATAATCTGATTAGTAATTACCACTTTGTTGAGACTCAACGTTTCAGATAATTTTCGCTGTAAAATTTTTGGTTGAATTATATCTATATAATCTGAAGAAAAAAACATTGACATAGGTCATAGTTTGAAAAAAATAGTGTTAAAATATATAGCAGATTTTATTTCTTGATAAGAATATGTTTATTTTAAATTTCTATACTTACCTTCAAGGTAAATTACTCCCTGTAAAAAAATAAAATTGAACATTTTATTAAACTCCTTCTTTGAAAAAAGTCACTGTTTTAAATACTAGATCAATTTATTTTTTTAGATTTAAGACCTGGGAAGCTAAACATTTCAACAACAGTAAGGAACTTGCATTTATGTTACCTTTATATAGGTCTACTAATTTAAATATTAATAGCATAAATTATAGAGACTTATGTATTTATATTCTTTAAAAAATAAAGTGCATCAGGGGAGTGGATAATATAAGTCAGTGCTTCAATCACCTTAAATTTTCTTACCAATTTAAAGTCTCTAGAAGGAGCACGGTTCCCACTGTGATAGTTTGGGTATGTTGCTTGATGACTGGCTTTTATATCTATTGTAAAATTTAATGTTACAAACTTATGAAAAATTTGCATGGGAATGAATTTTTTAATAACAAAACAATCTTTAAGAATATATTTGAATATAAGGAAGAATAGTTGTGAAATTTTTTTTTAGCAAATATTTGTAAGCTGGGATAGATTAGAAGGCTACATACTTTTCCATTCAAAAAATGCATGTACATCCTGCATAGTTGGCCTCATATGTGGGTCATGTGAAATGCACTTTTCAATAACTTCATAGTGACATGGGTTAATACATGATTCCCTGTATAATTTTATTTTTTTGTTACATATCTGTTGAGTAAAGTTTAATGTAACATATCAGTTAAGTGAAAATGAATGTAACATATCTTTTAAGTAAGCCTGAATAATCAAAATAAGTTAAATTATTAAAGAAGATTCAACGGGATATTTGTATCTTATTTAGATGGGATTTTAGTAAATTATATTACAAGATACTTTTTAGTATAATGCTGTTATCAATAAGGATTATGACATAGTTTAAGTACAGTAAGTAAAAAGATAGTAATGGGAATTAATCAGAAAAAACTGTTAAGCAATGTTTGTTTGTTTTTTAATTTAGAGAATGAACCGCAACTACATCAAAAATGATCAAAGCAAAACTTTACTGGTAAGGATAAGAACCTTTTTTTTTTAGTTAAACTAATTTAAAAAGCATTTCACATAATTTTAATTAATGTGAAAATGTAAGCTGCTTTTAAATTCAAATAAATTTAAGATTGTCAACAAATAAATACTAACTTTTGAAATATTGTTCAATATGTGAATAAGGCAACTGATGATTACCAACGTATCAAAAGAAAATATCAGTTTTGCTAATTCATACAAGTTTCAAATTTTGTGAAGGAATATGTTACCTTCTTAACGCATGTTTCATCATCAAGTTGAACATGAGAGTATGGCAAGACACCATGGGTTAGGATCTCGTACATTAGGTGACCAAACATCCAGCTGTCCGACATCTCCGAGACTTTCAATCTTCTTAAAGTTTCTGGGGCACACCATCGTGAAGGTAGTAATCTGCTGTCTTCTGTCAAAATTTTTAAAATATTTGTTTACAAATTGCTTATTCTGTTCATTCAAAATCTATGTCATTGATGGGAGATAAATGTGTTTCCACATTACATTCTACTGATATTTAACCATTGGATAAATATTACATTGAAGAAGATATAATAATCCGGAGAAAATAGAGATGTGTTAAAAGTACACCAAGAAAATGGCATAACAAGACTGAGAACTGCATAGAGTCCTGGATAAATAAAAAACAGACTAAAAATCCTAGAGAAGAACTAGAAGGTGACATGAAAAGGATAATTTAATATTAGTAAAAAAAATGGAAATACTAAGAATCAAGATGCCTTGTTAGCTCAAGGGTGTGTTATCTTTCCCATTTGAATGGCATGATGACATTAGAGATACAATGCTAGAAAACAAGGAACTTCATAATTCAACTAATAATTTTCAATATTCATAAAATGAATAAAGCTTTGACTAATTAAATAAGTGAAGTAATTACCCATAATGAAGTATGTTTGTTCAAAAACAAAGTTCAGTAGAAGTTACCTGAACTTAGTGTATCATTATCATTGGTAACAGCAAATAAAAATCCAGAGAGTTTGACAGTGTCACCAGTACTAGAGATAAGGAAACTGGCAGCTGTAATGTTAGCATGTATGACATCCATGTTGTGACAGTAAAACAATGCAGATGCAGCTTGCCTCAAAAACTCTACAAGCTGTACATAGGTACAGTATTGCTGATTTATATTTTTATTTATGAGATAGTCCTGTCAGTAAGATAAAATTGTATTATTAAACTTGTTGTGTTAATTTTTTTTTTTAAAAACAATTCTGTCCCCAAATATTATTTAAACACTTCCTTTAATAATGCACAGTTATAAGATATCAAGTTCTATACTGGAATTCAGACAAAATTTGTGAGTAAATATAGATACATGTATTATATTTTATTAATTACAAAGTAAACAAACTTTCTTGAGATTTCATTTTAAATTTGTATTTCATATATATTTCATATATTTAAAGTTTCCTTCTAATTGATGTTGTACAATAATACTGTGCAAAGAAAAAAACTAAAAAAAATTATTTAAAATTGACTAATATATTCAAGTTCCCAATAAGCAGTCTAGTTAATAATAATTATAACAGATTAATCAGAGTATCCTATACAGTATTGTTTGTGTTTTTTTTTTTTATTCACAAATTTCTGAAGTTCTTTGCTATTTAAATTGCTCACCTGCAAACTACTTCTTGTTTCTAAAATATAAAACTGAGGTATACTTTCAATATGAAAAGAAAGCAGTTTGACAATATTGCAATGGTCTAAATGTTGTAGCAATTCTATCTGATTGAAGTGGGTTCTATGGCTGCTTCTAGTTTTATCATTAAAATTTATAATGTGGCCAGATTTATGAGATTCTTTTGATGGCCGATGAATGCAAATCACAGCAGGCAAGTTGCAGAAGTTTCCAGTAAGTGAAAGCCATTCTTCATTCAAATTGTCATCTTTCTGGATAAAGAATTTTTTAAATAATTAAGACATGTTTATAATTAACGTTGATAAGAACAAAATAAGATTTTTTTTATCGAGTAGGTCTGGCCAAGTAAGTAAGATTTTTATAAATTATTAACTTTTTTTATATGTCTGATCTCTTGTAGGCATCTGACTTACTTAGGGAAAGTAAAATAAAAACTGAGAAAAGTGCTGATCACACTATCACTTCATGTACCAATGTTACAGAAACAGGTGAATTTTACTTCATCTGCCCCATGAACCTCAGATTCTAAAGAGTAGCTTTATTTATTAAAATCTTATATGTAAAAGGTGAATTTAAAATATTGTGGCTCAAATTTGCAGGTTGTAAACATATTTCTAGATTTATGAACATCTAAAATTTTAGCAGATGCTTTCTATCTTTTTGATAGTTTTCTTCTTGGCTTGGAATTAACAAAAAAAATAGATCCATAACATTTTGTAATTTCTTTTTGGTTTTTATATTTTTTGTAAAAAAAAAAGCTATCAAACATTTCTAGTTAAAAAGTATGCTTCTACCCATAATTTCAATTTACCTAGAAATATTACTCATTAAATATGTGTTGGCCTATGTTTATTTATCTATGAAAATGTTTTTTACCAGTGCAGTTTTTGCCTCCTGGTCAACCTCCAAAAGAGGGGCAAGTTTATGCTCCACTTCCCTTAACAAATAAACATTTAACCAAGAGTCGTAGCATTTGTTTTTATCAAAGAAATCAATAGTACATTGCCGAATCACTGGAGTGGTTTCAAACATCAAAGAGTTTAAAATGGATATCTAGAGATAAAAACAATTGTAGGATTATTATTTTATAAGAATTATATTCTAATTATTTTTTATCAGTTAGATTTATATTTTTTAAGCCCATTGTTCTTAGTGTTAATTTAAAGAGGGAACTGTTTGTAGCCTTAGTGGTAATAATAACACTAATAATTTATGAGTTTATGAGAATAAAAATAAGTTGATGTAATAATCAAATACTTAAAAAATGTTTTAAAAATGTGAACCTACCTCTGAAGGTAAATTTTGCTTTGAAAGATTATCTATAACAGCCATCACTTTGTGGCATGGGTTATGAATGTTGATGTGTGGAATCTCTCCTTGTGAAAAAAAAACAGAATACAGTATTGTAATAAAAAAAATTTGAAAATTTTGAAAAATGAAATTACATCTAAACTAAAATATAAAAACAAAAGATATAGTATTACACCTACCAATTAAAACTAGTGTCATTTATTAATTACTTTTTATATTTTATCACAAATTATACAAATGTATTATATGCTCTCTGTATAACAAACTATAAAATAGGTATTTTACAAATTATATTGTGATTTGGAAATACCCTAATTTGTAATAATCAGCACATATTTTTACTCACTCAAGCCATAAAAGAGAAAATGTGTGAGCCCCCTGAGCAGCATTGAACTAACAGCTGGGGCAAAAGTCTTTTTTAGCAGCCATTTTTTTGGTCTAAAGCACTCCAGCAACAAATCCAGTACAGCAACATCAATCTTTAGGAACAGCTGTTTAAATTTTTTTTTTAATTAAATGTTTAAATTACGCTTCTAAAATTAATTTCTCAACAAATCACATGACCTTGACAAAAACCCAAACACAATTTTAAGTCTATGCCTAAGCCTTAAGTCTAATTAATAAAGATATCCTATATAAACAAACCTGTTTTTATGATAAACCCTAACGACTGTGATTTAAGTGGATTTTGTTTTAAAGACACGTAATTTTAAAGGAAAACAATTATTATAGGCCTAATAATTTGTAAAGTGAAAAATTAATTTCAAATCCAGCAGGGTAACTATAATTTTATAATAAGAGGCACTGAAAAGGTTATTTATTGTATAAATATCAGATTAAATAATTTAAATATTGAAGCATATTAAAAATTGCCATTTTTTTGTATTCATAATATTTTTAAATACTCTCTCAAAAGTATCATATTAATTAATTAACCTATAGTATTTTTAAAACCTACCTTCTTCAAACAATCTAGAATGGCAGCAAACTGAAAAGCTAAACTCTTTCCTAAGATATAGTTAGCTCTGTTGCTCAAGTCCTGAGTGCCATTTTCACTAAAATAGTTATGTACTTCATGATGAATGCTTTCTAAAGGGGATTCCAAAACTTTTTGCAGTGTAGTAATATACTTTTCTGTATTTTTTAGACTCTTGCAAGTCTTCAGTGTTGACCTTATTAAAAGAAATGAATGCAGAAAAGCTGTAAGAACACGATACAATTGTGGTAAATTGATATCAGTAGATAATAAAGTATCTCAAATGTAAATATCAAATGCAAATTATTTTTAATATCAAAATAACTCCATGGAAGTAAAGGCCATTGTGAATTTGTTTAAATGCACTTGAGTAAGGTGAATATATTTTTTTTAACCTGATGACATTGTAAAATGCATTTGCTATATTTTTTAATCAGACTCAATCATTCAATATAAATTAAAATTATTAAATGAACAAAAGACATTTTTGTTTTCTGGGTAGTTGTGAAATTTAATAGGTCCCATATATCAAATTGTACTTTGTTAAGTCATGAATCCTCTGTTAGTAGTGGAATAACAAAGATTTTAATCAGGGCTAATTAATCACTTTGATTTTTAAAAAAAGAAGAGTCAAAATACAAAATATTTAAAATTGGGTTTTTAAATACTAATTGTAAGATACTTTTTAATAGTAGGAATTGATATCTACACTAATTAGGTATCTGCTATTGGCATTGTAATAAGAAATAAATATTGACTCTGTATATCAACAGTTTTTAAAAATACGAGCTATGGCACTTATCCCTATTTGCAAAGGAAAAAGTAAAAATTAATGTCCAACTATACCTCATGTCACTCAAAAATTCTTCACTTTCATTGACATCATCTGTTTCATTAAAGTTCATCATTATTTCAATTTGAAGCATTATTATTATATTGCATGATCTTGTAATAGCTGATTCTGTGTGAATATCTGCCCTTTTTGTTAAACTGGCCATTGCAAATAGAAAAAATAAAAACAATTTAACATATAACCTGTACAAGTACCAATTTATACATATAAACAGAATATGGGTTTAGCTGATTTACTATAAATAAACTTTGAATAAATTTTATTTATTTTCTTTGTTGAAAAAAATAATTATTAAATTTTAAATTCTCAGCAGTTTTAATAAATCTTTCACTTCTTATTAGTATTTTTTAAAATGATATTTTTTATTTATAATAATTTAAAATAAAACATGGGAAAAGATGTAAGAAACAGGTAGCGTGAAACAGAAATTTTAAATGGTAAAAATAAGTTTTCTAGCAATTCTTTTCAGATATAATAATTGATTATATTTTATGTGCAAAAGCATTTGGTAAATCTATAGGATCAAGATGAAACGTTAGCAGTGTGTGTGCTTTACTTAGAGTATAGTATATATAGATTAGAATTGACCTTTTGATTAATGTTAAACTAAGTGGAGTTAGTGCTAAGCATAAAAGCAAAACATTATCAGCTGATAAACTAGATATTTTAAAATTTTAGAACTTTTTTTTTCATTGTCTTTTAAATATAATTTATTAAATGACATCTAAATTGTAAACAAGCTAAGCATTTGGTTTTTGCAAAAGCATATTTGATTTTACAATTTGCCTTGAAAATACCTTAAGTCATGAATTGATTTTGCAAGCATTGTTTGCATATATTGCTAGAAAACAAAGAAATTTTTAAAATTCTAATTTGAGTGATATATAAGATATATAAAAATTATTTATATAGAAAACTAACCTTACTAGACAAATAGATTATGGTAAATTCTTAGTTAATACTTTTTAAAATTAATAATGGAAATGTTGATAATATTTTTAAATTCCTATAAAGTCATTTCAATTACATAGAATGTCAATATTTCTCTCTCTTTCTCTCTCTCTCTCATAGGCAAAGGTCAAAATTAACTACTTTGATTACTTTTCATCACAATTTTCAAACTATTCTATAAAATTACATCACATTTTTCTTACCAGTCCCCTGCCCAAGCCTCTCCCCTTCTCCAGAATGTAAAATAATTTATGGACATCCCTTTAAAAGTTAAACCTAGCTAGATTTAATCCCAAGTTCTTTAAAAACAATATTTTCTAAAAAGAAATATGCTTATATTCTTTTAACACATACTTTAAAAATTAGGATAAAAAGGTTTTTCTTCATTAAGGATATTAGTAGTCAATGAAAACAATGGGCATGTGAAATTGTGTACACCAAATAATAAACAAATGAAACCATTTTGTAAGCTTAAAACTTGCCACATTACAACTGAACAATACTTTACTTTGAAAACTGATCAAAAGTTTCAAATGCATTTACCAAGGTATCCAGATCCACATGGCTATTCTTTATCTGTCCCTTTAGAATGAGCAGCTCTATGTGATCAAAGGAGCGCCTTTGAAGAAGTGGATAGTCACAGCACACAGCTATGTGAACTAAGCCAAGTATAGAGTTACTGTGGTAAAGCTCTGGTAAAACCTGCAGCAGAAATGTAAAGCATATTATAATCCCTTGTGTACTTACACTTGCTGAGTATCACCAATACCTGTTGTATTATAGTAACTGCATGATGTTTGTGGGTGTTTTCATTTCTATGGAACTGCAGGTAGGCTTATTTATTTAAATTGTAGTATGGTTTTGAAATACTATAGTAAGACTGCAATAGAAAAGCAAATGTTTGTTTGATTTGTTTCTTTGTTGTTGTTTTTTTTTTGTATTTCTAGTTTATGTCTACCATTTTGCATTTGTTTTTATATGAGTAGCTCATTTTAAAAATGTTTTGTATTAGGCCTTTTAGCCTGATTGAGAATATTAACTTCAGGCCTAGAGAATGCAGCCAGCTTAGGACCTTGTAGGCCTATTCTTAAATAGCACACATTTGTTCAATTTTAATACTTTAATGGCTATTTAAACCTAGATTTTTTTTTTTTACTTGTTGACATTTTTTTAAAAATATAGTCAAATATTAACTAACTTGAGATAATGCAATACATGATATATCTACCTTGTGTATTAAAAAATTTATATTTGCTGGAAATTTTTCTGGACATTTGCGAAGCTCTTTTATCTTATCTTTCAGCTCAGCAAAACTTCTTATAGAGGAATCTGTAAAAACAAAATATTTAAAAAACATTTATAGAGGCATGTGTAAAATTAAAACATCTATTCTAAAAAATATTTTATAGAGCTATCTTCCAAAACAAAAATTGTATCTAGAAAAATCTTTGGATTCTTTTAAAATAAGAAGACAAATCTAAAAACCTATTTTCTATTATATCTTCAAAGAATTTGAAGCAAAAAGATAAAATAAAAGCAGCATTATCTCCTTTGCAAATCTTATTCAATTACTAGTATTATTTACAATAAGTTAAGCAACTGATCCCTATGTCAAGCAAAGTTTCCAAATTCTCTAATTAATGACTTGATTTTTAAATTCTGCATGTTTTTTATCATTGTTTTTTTTTTTTTGTGTTCTTTAACATTGTTTTAAACTAACTTTGTTACAAATTGCTATTATAAGAAAAATATGCCATCATTAAAAGAAATAAGTTCATTTCTTAAAACTAATGCTAGAGATTTAGTTCTTGAGTAGCTATAAAACGGAAACAACCAGAAAATTGTGGCTACTTACAACTGATAATAAACTGAGCATGTTCTGCTTTATTTATTACTCTGGCATACACATTGCTTTCTTTGTTCTTTCCCTGAACCTCAGGATATGGCATCAGCCGGTGGTCACTTTCATTACTTTTCTTATCCTCGCAACATCTCAAAGATTCAAGCTTTTCTAAAATAACTTTTTCTTCAACTGGCGCGTTATCATACAGGTTCACATGCCGCACATCTGCCTGAGACACTTCTCTAGAAACTGGTTTATGTCTTTGAGGTAGAATAGGTTTTTTCTTTTTTACTTCCTCTTGTCTGCCAACATCTGGGATGCTGGATAATACAGTTTCCACAAAGATTTGCAGGTTCTTTTCATTTATAACTGACTTGACATTAAAATGTTGAAAGAAACAGTCCGCTGTTTCTTCACCATTCATTGGTGTGGCGTATAGAGATGAAGAGTTCTTTAATTTGACACACATTATTTTGTCAGCATGCTCTTTGCTATACACATCCAGTCCATTCAATTTTAACTGTTCAAATGTTTAATTATTATTAATTTTAATATTAAGAAAATAGCAACTAAATCTTGAAAAAATATATATCTATATAACAATATCTATATATCAATAAATATATTTATATATACATATATATGTATATATATATATATATATATATATATATATATATATATATATATATATATATATATATATATATATATATATATATATATATAAATTAATCATCATTGTCAGATGGTAGAGCTTATGACTACCACCCCAAAGGTCTCGAGTTTGAATCATGGATCTGAGATCACCAGTCCATCCAGCTCATAGGGAAACCAAGGTGGCTGAGCATAGTCCTGGCCACACTAACCTCATGTATGCTGAGGTCATTGACACAGATGAGGTCTACTTTACCTGTCCTATGTGTCTTAGGCACAAATGCAAAAAAAAAATGATTGTGTCCTTAAAAAGGTTTTTTAAATAACAATGATTTTACACACTCTTAAATTATTCATTTTGCCATTAAAGAATAAATACCCTGTATTATATATATAGGCCTATATAAAAAAATTAAAATTTCCAATAGCTCTCTGTATACATTTTTAAAATATGCATTTTTAACAATAATTTACTACAATTCACTGTCAACATACAAGTAATATAAATATGGATATATATATATATATATATATATATATATATATATATATATATATATATATATATATATATATATATATATATATGTATATATATATATATATATATATATATATATATATATATATATATATATATATATATATATGTATATGTATATATATCCCTATATTGCACGCTTTTTTATTTGAACATGGAAAAATTTTTCTATGCTGTGTTTATGTTATGGGTAGATCATAGATCACTTCTATATGGATGATTTGTAAAAAAAATTATGGGATATTGCTTTTGTAGGTATGTTGCCATGCGGCAACATGGTGCGTATAAGGGTAAAAATGTCAGTAGTTGCCAAATGGCAACAAACTAACAAATTTTAGTATAAACAAAGACAAACAAGCTCTAGGGCAAAACAAACTAGAGATTTATTAAACATATCAATAATATATGTATTTCAACACATATTGGTAATTTTCACATACTACTAAAACACATAAAAATGTATTTATTTATATATGAAACTCATAAGAAAGAGATAAACTTCCAAAACTTGTGTTGGATGCTTGGTATTGAAATCAATGATCACATTATTTCATTGCATTATAATCCTAACCCTTATTTTGGACCTAACACAATAATTACCATTATTTATCTGTTTAGGTAAATTTGGAAAGTATTATGAGTAACTTAGTATAACATATCTTTATTTTTTATCACATGAGAATACTGTAGCTAAAATAAGTTGCTATAGCATATTTCCTAATGGGATTGACACAGGTGTGTATTTCTTGAACTTGCTTGTTGTAGTAAGTTTCTTGTAGCTAAGAGATTTATAAAAAAAAATTATACAAGCACATAAATTATCCAGTGATAGTTGTTCTTTTAGCCGCACTGCATGGTACAATACACTTTTTACCCCCTTACATTATTGTGATTACTAAAATATCTACCAGATAATAACCATGTATTCTAGCTGCTGTAATATTTACAAATATTTACAACACTAACATATATTATGATGGCTAACAAAAATGTTCCTAGCACTATTTAAATTTTTTTTTTACAAAACTGAATTTCAAAATTTAATTATTTACACAATTCCCATACAACTATCACTTTACAACAAGAGAGCCAATTATATTATTATATTAGTGTCTTTTATATCCTCATAATTGTCCACAACTTGTAGATTTTATTTCTTGGTCCTACAATGGTGTGGTGTCAGACACTTTATTTCTGGGGTGGCATAATCTGTTTCTTCTGAGAGAACTCTTGCCGTGTTTCATATTTCTTCACCTGAATAACAAATAAAAATATCAGATTACCCACTATTTAACTGTAGGCTACTGGAATAAAACTTACTGTGTCAATAGTACACAAATATTTGTTTCCCTATAAGAAAAGGTTAACATTTCTAACAATAATTAGTCAAACAAATATGCTCGTGTCGTCAATAACATTTCTGCGCTAAATAAACCCTAAGGTATAATTAATTATATTGGTAATTCAGGCTAGATATCCTGACATGCAGTGTGCCCAATCACTTAATACATTATCAATAGATAGTGTCATTGATTACTATCTTGTAAACATTGTTTTATGATTACAGAGCTCCTAAATCTATTTGTAACTAACCGTCATGATTTTGAAATGGGAAATGTATCTGAAGTGTTTCCTGGTCATCTGTTTGGTGATGCTTCTAACTTTCTTTTCATGTTATTCTAATAAAATTCTCTAGAATTCATTTGTATCAGTAACTAGCAGCTTCTGAAAAAATAATTAAAAAATTAAAAACTAAATCATATAAGCTAGGATTATATTATAAATTTTATTAGCCGATAGTCAAAATATTGTAAAGTTTATATAAGTAATACTACTTCTATTCTAAATTAGTAATGTTCTTGACTAAACAATATATTGCATTTGCCAATAACAGTTTATATATATATTTTTATAGTGATATATGTGCTAAAATAGTTAGATCTTTTTAGTAGTTATACTAATCCTAGTAAATAGGCCTATTATTAGTAGGCGGATAAGTTTAGTAAATAAATTTTCTTTCTGTGACATCCTCTCAACAAAAGAACTTAGGAAGTAATTGGTAATAGGAGCATTATTATCTTCTTTGAATATAACTAAATACATTGAAAAAATTTTGAAAAACAAAAAATAGATTTATTGTTGCCATTTGGCTACAGAGCCTGAAAGTAACCTCTGTTGCAATATGATGCCATATGGCAACAAACCATTTTCGATCTAAATAAGTATGTAAATCATATTACATGATACATATGATAGAATATACACAATTTAGAATAGTTTTGAATTATCATTATATTTTTTTTATAGTGAAGTAAGAAGTATTTTATAAAAAAAAAAATTATAAAAAAATACCAACCTTCATGGTGATCAGCTGGCCCACATTCTCACGAAAATGAAATCGGAAATGGAACAAAAATGTTTCTGCTAAAAAGAGTTCGCATTTATTTTGTAAGGGAGATTATAATAAAGGGATGAAACACTATAGTTAATGTGTATGTGTAAAATTAAACATTTGTGGTTGTTCAAAATGGTACGTTGCCATATGGCTACAGTATGCAATATAGGGATATATATATATATATATATATATATATATATATATATATATATATATTACTTTAAAAGAAATACAGAAACGTGTATGCTTAAAATGCATATTTTTAGCAAACACTATTGAAGTATTTACCTTAATCCAAAATTGTTCACACTTGTGCAGTATAGTAAATGAACATGTCTCAAATTGTTCTACAAATATCTCCTTGAAACATCCAGCTAATTCAATAATAAAAATAAAAGTAAATAAAAAAGTAAACAATATCAGAAAATAAACCAAGCCATAGGATATACAAATCTGATCCAAGTTTGTTTGTTTTTTATTAAAAGGACTAATCTTTCTCCATAGATGTGGTTTTATCAAAAAATAAAACAAACAAAAAAAAACTTACTTTAATTCATAAAATAGTAATTAACCAAATGTATGATAAGAAAATATTTTTAGGTTAATCATTTAGTAGTATTGTTTTTAAATGTCAAACACTGTTAAATTTGTATTTTACCATATGTATTTTATAGGCTAATACATAGATCTACTTATATTCATTATATGTAATTCATTATATAGGACTTTAATATGCAGGCCAAAATTAAATGAAAAAAATCATGCAAACATGATCACTAATTTATGTTATTTAAGAACTTGTAATTTATCTATTAAATAAAAATGGTAATCTATCGTTTTGGGTACGTAAAATCGCCCGCGATTTGTAATGTGAAAAACAGGTGACTCCTTAAATTTTAATAAATATTTCACATTTTGAGGAGGATTAATGTTTTAAAAATTTCAAAAATGTTTCCTTGATTCATTTATGTACCTGTTTTTAAACAATTGAATTAAAACTTTTCCGTAATAAATGAAGACTAGCGATGTTTCCAACAGATGCAACCATGCTCATTTACTATAGCAGCCATCTTGTTTAAGTTTTATTTTTATAAGCTTTTAGCGCCAGATTCAGGGGGAAGCCACTCTATTTTACAAATGGCTGCTGTTTATATAGCAAATCTTGCTCTCAGACACTACTGTTTAAAGTTAATTTCTGGCCTATATCGATATATATAGCCATTGATTTAGGTTTATTATTCATTTATCTATAATATTTGACACAAAAGTATGACAATATACTTCTATTAAAGCCTTGACAATGAGGTAACGTTTTCGTACATAAATAGCCGCGGGCGATTTTACGTACCCAAAACGATAGATTACCCATAATTATATTCATTATATGCAATAATTATTATATAAGATTTTAATATGCAGGCCAAAATTACAGTTTAATAGACAAATTAAATGAAAAAATCATGCAAATATAATAACTAATTTTTGTTATTTAAGAACTTGTAACGTAACAATAAAATTAAAATTTTAAACAATTAACAGCTTTTGGTGACTTACATAATTTATTTTCAACCACTGTCACGTGTTTTTTTCTCAACTTCTCAACAAGAGAGTGCAAATTTTCAGCACAGCTATCCTCTTCACAGTCAGGGACATGGAAGTTGACAGACATTTTGGTTGTGTGGGTTCAAATCAACAAGTTGTTCCATTAAAGGTTTCAGCTTTCATTTCCTACAAACGATGGCAAAAATAAAAAATATGACGAAATTGAGGAAATTTATATATGGGGTCATCCATAAATGACGTCACGCTTTTTTCGACGATTTTTATCTCCTCCCCTCCGTCACACACCGTCACAACAAGCCAGACCCCCCCCCCTCTAAAATGACGTCACAACTCGGCCTACAACCCACCTCAAAATTGCAATTGAAATTTTCTTAAAACATCGATATTTTTCCAAAATCTTGTCTGAACTCTGTCAAAATAGAGTATTTTAATCAATTCCTATTAAAACAGTTTTCTAAAATTCGTTTTCTAACTGTGTGACGTCGCACGATCTGAACCCCCCCCCCCTCCCCCTCATCAAACACCGTCACAAAATTACGGACCCCCCTCCCCCCTAAGAGTGTGACGTCATTTATGGACGACCCCTATGTTATAATATATACATATATATATATGAATATGCATATTATTATCTATTAGAGATAATAATTTGAAGAGAGAAATATATATATATATATATATATATATATATATATATATATATATATATATATATATATATATATATATATATATATATAGGCCCTACATTTATATTTATTTATATATATATGAATATGCATATTATTATCTATTAGAGATAATAATTTGAAGAGAGAAATAGATAGGCCTATATATATATATATATATATATATATATATATATATATATATATATATATATATATATATATATATATATATATATATACATATATAAATTTTACTGTAGATTGATGAATGAAATGGGACCCTTATAACAAGTTGACTAGAGCTTATTATATCGGACCAGTGTTGTAGGTCTAATATTAGTTTAACACTAACAACTCTAACAAGTTTTTTACAATGATAAACTCACGTATATATTTTTCCTCGCCAACCTTGTCTGAACATTGGTGCACTATTTTTTTATCAAGGGTTGTTTTTCACATTTCAAGACATTGATATTCTGTTAGTGACAAACTGCAGTTGTTTTTGTTGTTATTTTCTTTTCATCCATAGAAGTTACAAACAGAAATTATCGATAGCAGGCACAGTCAAACCTAAATTTTTAAAAAAAGCTATAACACACTTCTAGTTAGCCATTGAGTTAAAAATATATGTTCCAATTCTGCACACACCACCTTTTCCCCCACTCATATCGTTTATTTATGGACTATTTTGACCAGTGGACCTATATAATAATTTATGAATAAAAACAGCCATGATGCTTTTCCGTTTTGTCTAACTTTACACTATAACAGCAAACGTAATTCGCCGACAATATAAATCGGGAAATCGGGAATTCCTTATCGCCAGCGTCACGGTAAGTAACTTTCTAAAAAAGGCAAATGATCTACGTGAAATGGTGCTCCATATGGCGTCACACTCCTAAATAAGTGGATGGGGGCGTAACTTACTGTAGAGAGTAAATGAGACTGTATTAAACGCGTTTAAAAACAATAAAAGATGTTGATTGGAGGAGGATGGGGGCTTTTATGACGATTAATATTACAATTAGGGAACAGGGTGGGGTAAAAAAAAAAACCATCAAATTTGTGACGTCATTTATGGACCTAAAGGTGATAGAGGTCGCTGCGTGTTTGTCGCATAACTGTCTAGAATATCGGAGCTGTTGAGGAATGTAGCACACTAGCATACATGAGTTCCGAGAAGCTACGGATCCAGTGTTTCTTCCAGCCTTTTTTTCCGGTGGGGGGGGGCACTTGAAATTGTCGGGGTGTGGGGCGGACGCTGTTAAAAGTATATATTTTCTATATAAATTCGATTTCGTTCGGGGGGGGAGGGGGCGGTAGACTTTTTTCGAGGGGGAAGGCAGAGCCCCCATCTCCCTCCGCCCCGGAGAGATGCCAAGAAGAAACACAGTACGGATCAACACATAGGCTCACTATATGAAGATGGGGAGGGGGGAGTAGTATAAGAATGCGGTGGGATAGAAAGGAAGTGAGACGAGGGGGGGGGGGAGGAAAAGATGGAAGCGAGAAAAAGAAATAGAGGAACAAATTACACTTCAATAGGGGCAGGTACACTTACAATCAATTACATTAAACGAAAAAAAAAAGACCCTTAAATCAGATTGCTTATGAACGTTTAATTAAATTAGTTTCTATGTACAAGTATCAACGGACGTCCATCTTGGTGTTATTTCACAATTCTGGAGTTCCCCATAATACACTGAACACTTTTTAATTAGACGGGATTAGATGTAGTCAATGTATGTAAACATGTCTATAGAACTATCTGTGTACTCAATCTTGAATGAGCTAATGTAATGCATATTTATCTATGAGAGTGAACAGCACTTGAGGCTACAAGCCTGTATAACATCATTTAATAGTAAATATATATATATATATATATATATATATATATATATATATATATATATATATATATATATATATATATATATATATATATATATATTACGAGTGTCCGCCCAAAAGCTTCAAGTGCCCCCCTTCCCCCCCCCCCCCCCCCAGAAAAAGTCTGGTAAACAGACAAGTTAATTTTGTTGGGATAGACATGGACGATTTTGATACGGTGGAGTAACAAGCTATCGTTGCATTTCATCGAAACTGCATGGGGGTCATCAATACACGAAATCACGTTTTTTAAAACTGTATTTACCTCCTCCCCTCCCCGTCGTTTCATAAAACCAGATCTTTCCTCCTTTTAAGAATGACGTATTACCTCAATGTATGCCTACCACCCTCCTCCTCTCTCAAAGGGTCCCACAGCAAAAAAATATATCTGAAGCATTATTTTTTTTACCACAAGTGTTTAGTCACCCATTTTGAACCCCTTCCTTCCAAACCCTCCACACACATCGTCATTAAAGTCCGTACTCCCCACCCCCCTCCCCACCACCAACCCTCACTCTGTAATGTGATGAAAAAAATAGTTTTGCAATCTGGTCTGTATATCATGTGTTTGTCTGTCTGTGTGTTTTAGAAATGTAATACATAATTATTACATCCTGTTTGTTGGTTTCTTTCAACTTCTAAGCGATTTCCGGTAACAGGAAGAGTTAATTTACTCTCTTTCCGGTTTCTCAATACACTTTATATTTTATAATTTTATTTGCCATTTTCATAAAGCAACATATTTTAATAACGTTTCGCATCCATGTGTATGTCGAAAAACGAGCGGTTTTGTCACTAACTCACCTCGGTTTTTAAACCACCAACTTCTCTACAATGTGGTCCAACTCGTCTGCAATTGTTTCAGCTGAACTCATACTCGTCGTAGGCTGGCTTCTAAGAGAAGAAAGTTGGGGGGGGGGGCAGGAGTGAGCTCTCCTTTCTTGTGTGTTCATATATAATAATAAGGGTTGGTATGGCACTTTCAGTGGGATCGGTGCACCGTCAAAACGGCCCGTGACATAACGGCCCCCGACAAAACGACCCAGTCAAAATAGTCCCGTTAAAAAGATAGTGACTCGCGACATATAGGCTCCCGACAAATAGGCTCCCAACATTTAGACTCCAACTTCAGAATGGTCGCAGCTTTAGCAATGAAATTACCCCCCCCCCCCTTTTCCCAGAAAATGATTGGGTTTGCTGAAGCTAGAACAATTCTGATGCTGGAACCGTTGGATCTGACCAGACGAGCTGGGCCAAACTTCAGAACAACTACTACAACACAAACAATTCGGTTGTTTTTTTTAACTTAGCAACCGCTCATAATACTCCTAGAGAGAAGAAAATAGACCTATAATTGTTTCACAAAACTGAGCAAAAAAAAAAAGCCAGTTGGATTCGGAAATTCCATTTCTCTTTAGTGATGTAACCAGCGTCTAATCTAAGAACGCATATTTTAAAATCTTTAAATGTAGCATTACAAATCAAATCAATGTTTTCATCTTTGTAAATAAAAACTCTATCCCCAACAAATTTTGTTTGTATTTTTTTAAAGATTTGTCTTATGTGCTGCGGTGTTTTTCCCCCCAGAAATTAACCCCCCCCCCCCTCTCCACCTCACTCAATAATGCGCAGAGGCGTAGCGAGGGGAAGGGGCGGGGGGACATATGTTCCCGGGCGCCGACCTTAGGGGGCGCCAAAATGGGTTGGAAAAATAAATTGAAAGCTTGTGGGGGTGCAAATCGAAAGCTTGAGGGGGGTGCAAATCGAAATCCTAAGGGGGGTGCAAATCTAAAGCTTGAGGGTGGGGGTGCAAATCTAGAATTTGTCCCCGGGCGCCGGGAAGGGTCGCTACGCCTCTGCTAATGCAAAATAGAAAATATATTACATTTGAATATAAAATATATACTTTAACTATTGCCCGCCCTCCCATTGAAGTTTTCAGTGCCCCCCCCCCCCCTTAAGTGGAAAATATTTTGTCTAAAAGAAACACTTGTTTTTTGAGAAACAAACACTTTAAACACAGATGACAAGTGGTTGAAATATTGAAAAAATAATCGAATTAATAAATAAATAAATAGTGTATATATATATACACACACACACACACATATATATATATATATATGCATATGCATATATATACGGGATAATTATCTACTGTATATATATATATATATATATATATATATATATATATATATATATATATGTATATATATGTGTGTATGTATATATACATATATATATATATATATATATATATATATATATATATATATATATATATATATATATATATATATATATATATATATATATATATATATATATATGTGTGTGTGTGTGTGTGTGTGTGTGTGTGTATGTATATATATACGTATATATATTTATGTATATGTATATATATATATATATATATATATATATAGTGATTTCAATGATCTGCTAGTGTTTCTGTGTATTTGATAAGAACGCTTTAACGTCAAATGAGAACAAAAGGATATTATCAAATTAAAATAAAAAGTACGACGCCAATGATGTACACAAAAATAAC